TATTTTTTATCAACACTCACAGACTACATTAGGACGTATTTAAAGTGACTTAAAAAACTCTCAGCTGTTGAAATTTGTAAATATGCTTTACTCATTTGATAGATATGTTACTATGCCTAAATATTCTTATGTTTACTGATCTAAAAGGTCTCAGTGGTTTTTTGGTCTTCTTTGAACTTCTTTTTTTCGCCTGCTCTTTTCCAATGATTCCAAACTGTCATGCGGTCGATGTTTAGCGCCTCCGCTATTTCTTGATAACTTGTGTGTCAGTCTTGCTCCACCAGTTGCGATATTTCATCGACTTTTTCAGTGACTGACCGATCAGAGTGAGGTGAATCTTTGAGCTTGAAATTTCCGGCATAGAATTAAGTAAACATCACTCTTTCCTTCAAAGCGTTCTCACCGTACACTTCACAGATTTTTCGGCACATTGTTGCTTTCGTTACCTTTTTTAAGCCTACACATCTTTTTATAATAAAAAGGCATCACTTAACGTATTTCTTCCAATATTTCACTCATGTTCAGATCGATATAACTTTCTCCACGAGCAAAGGATTAGAAAACTATCTTCACAAAAAACCCAAGCTGAAACTTCACCTTTTAAGCACATGTTCCTTTGAGACAACCAGATGAATGTTGCCCGATATGTAGGAATCAACTACATCTTGTGGCAAAAACGGCGGGGATCTTTTATATCATCCATTATTTCAATACGCTTTCAGTGGTCCAATATCTATTCGAAATGTGTGTTTTATAGTTCTCTCTTGAGAATGTATCATGCGCACTGAAATTGGTCATACCAAATTTTGTTTAAAAGACAACACATTTGAAAAATTCCTCGCGATTCAAATCCAGTAAACCTACTGCTACAAACGGATCTACGAAATTGAAAACCAGCTGCAAAATAACAGCTATAAGCTTGGCGAATTTCTTGGACTTACTGATCAGAGGACATGGAAACAGAGAATTCGCACAGGGAGATAACCTTTTTGCATATGAAAAATCCGAATGCATTCTTTGTTCCATGTCGGCGGCGTTTGGTCCCTTAAGAATTAACACGCCACGAAAGATGCATTTGTTTCGCTCAGCTTTCAAGCAATTGATTTCCTGGGAAGTTTTCGGTAACCTTGTCGCCCACTAAGCTTCTCGACGACCGTCTATTACTGTGACAGAAATTTGTCTTTCACCGAAGTTTCTGGGACTTTCTTTCGTCTCCTCTATCACCTTTGACGATTCTGACACACCTTTTCAAAGTTGTATACGGGGAGAACTCGCTTCAAAATAAGAGTACAAATGTTTTTTTTCATTTCATCTTAAAATTTTAACGAACGGTTGGTTCTAACCTCACATTTTTTTATTTGCAGTGCAATGAGAGATAAGTGTAATAAGACAGAGTTTCCTTACCACAACAACCAGAGGAGTCGTGCTCAAATGAAACATCATTGGTGGTGGAAAGCAAATTTTATTTTCGATCAATCAGAGATTACAAGGTACCATTCGGGTAATATAGAAAGTTTCAAATTTAAAAAAAAATGCTTAAGCAATTGTTATTGTATTTCAGGCTTGGTGCTATTTCTGGAAGAGGATTATTATGTGACCAAAGACTTCCTTTATATACTGAAAATGATGTATAAACGTACTATAGATTTATGTCCACAATGCAATATCTACACATTAGGCCGCCATGGACAACGTACTCCGTCTCCTAAGGCAAGTCAGCTCTATATAGTTGAAGAAATAGTATAAAAAATTGAGGCAATTTATTTTATTTTTTATTTATTTTAATATTACTAATCACTCGGGGGACATCCCGTTACGTGTAACTCGGACGCGGTCAGACAGGAGTGGGGCAAAACAAAGAGATATTGAGTTAGCCATAGCTTAGTAGGTTTATGCCTTTACCAAACAGGCATTCACTATAGCTACGGCGAGGTTCGCTCTCCCAAAATTTGAAGACGCGATTGGCTTGGTTTAATAGTTTATTATCTATATATATATACTTTGTCAGTTGACATTGAAGGAAAAATAGCAGGCTTTTAGTTTTTAATTTTTCCAACACTTTTAGCCGGCAAACTTCTCACGTTTTCTTATCTTTATATTAGCGACTTTTTTTCGTCTTCTCGCATATTTCTTACGATCTTTCATGCGCCAGCGTCGCTTTGTGTCTGCTGCAAGCTTATCAATTTAACATCGCTATTGCACCGCTATCGGTTGCACAATTACTGCGGTGTTTTTCAGCCAATGACGGAAATAAAGACATAAGTATTCCCAAGGCCAAAAACTACTTCAGTGCTCTTGAATAACATTTACTGTTATATGTAGTTACTAGGCGAATTGCTTGAAATATTTAGGTGATATGGTGAGCAATTTATAGTTTTCCCCTGGATGAGATATCTGTTTGCTTTTGAAGCATAATTGCTATAACCCGCGCAAGGGCAGAGTAGCATTAAAGTCGCTCGTTTCAGTTTTTCAATTTAAATTGCAATCGTTTGCATTAAATATGATTAATTTTAATTTTTTTATTTTATAAATGATAGAGATATGCGCAGGTAAATGTAATGCCTTGGACTACTGCAAATAATATGGCGTTTGCTTTTAATCGGGCCACTTGGAATAATATACGAACATGCGCAGAACATTTTTGCTCCTTTGGTGATTACAATTATGACCAGTCGTTAGAGCACATGTCCAGGGAATGCCCAGAGGGAGAGTTGATTAATTTTTCCGTCAAGCAAACCCGCGTCTTCCACACGGGAGCATGGTAAAAATATGTACAATAAAGATGCGCATAATCTCACTTTTGTTTCTCAAATATGCTCTTTTAACAGCAGCACACATATGACACCTTGCAAACAGGAAGAATTGATGTCACAAGTCCAAAACGCTTTATATACCGCTAACAAATCAAGTGGCATGTTCCCCAGAAATCTAAAACTTACTGGTACAACGCTAAAATACCGTAAAACATTTTATAAGCCCCTGCGCGGATGGGATACTAATAGTGATAAAAAACTTTGCATGAGCATGATCTCATCGACCAGGATCATTTCAGCAAAAAGAGCAAAAGTAAAATGAGAAAGTTAACGAACACAGAATTGCGAAATTTGTGGCTTCTATATTATTATTAATAATTATTATAACCTATTTATCCTAATGAAATAAATTCTTAGATTAAAACAAGGTAAGCATTAGTAGGTAACAACCTAATCAACCCTTTGGCTACATAAATGATTAGGTTTTCCACTTTTGTCTTGTTTGTAGTGACAGCAGCGCCAACCATAAATGAATTGATTTTCAAATCGTTAGGCTGCTAAATAGGTTTTTGTATATGACATCGGCTAGTTCGAGGTATCAAAGTGTCCATTTCGCAAGTTTATACTTTCGTGTCTTCCGCGGCATAGTTAAGGCTGGAGCTAAGTGCAAATTTTTTGCGATCTAATGAAGTCAAGCGATAGAAATCGCACGCGATTTTGAACAGAAAATTCATTATCTTTGCAATATAATTAAAATAATTGTTTCGAAGATAGTAAGTTTATATTTAACATTTTAAAAGTATATTTTTAAAATAAAATGCAGAGCTTTTGCTACTTTTTTTAGCAAATCTCTAACAAAATTTTAGTTAAATTTGAATGCACAATTTTAGTCTGTACTAATATTATTGTGTTATTACTATTCCTATTATTATACTCATCCCCGAGTAATCACGAGTATACTCATTTTGTAAAAGCGTTTGCAACGGCCAGAAGAAAACTTCAGACACCAAGCAGACACAACAATCATTACTTTTACACTAAAGCAGATAAATTTACAGAAATTCGAATGTAATTTCTATGGGCGATGCTGTAGCACCTGTACAAAAAAGGGAAATATTGACCACGCCTACTCAATATCGTAATTTATTTATTATAATAAATTGAACTTTTTTTTTTCAATACCTTTATAACGCGCAGCTGCAACAAGTAAGGAAGTTATATTCGGCAGGGGCCGAATCTCGCATAGCCATCACTATGCTTTTCACATTCTAGTCTGCAAGTTGTTTTATTTGATACCCACATCGCTGGTATTACCAAGAAAAAATTAATCCGCCATGAACGAATGAATGAATATATATAAAAATTAAATTAGGTATGAAAATTATATCGGCTGTGGCCGCAACCTAATTCTATGTTATATAAGCTCGGAAAAGATAATCTTTCGACAATCTATAATAAAAGTGGACGTAGTCGACTTTTTTCCATTTTATCAGACATATTGGAGGAATCTTGAGCCTATAGAACATGTGCCCAAATATTTATCGATTTGTTTATTACGCTTACGCTTACGTTACGGTTTAAAGTTAATGATGAAAAATCTAATTTCTTCGCTTCTATAAAATAGGTATGTTTTCTATTTATGCTTTTTTGTACTGTGGGCGCGACCTCTCACCGATTTGCTCCGTTTTCAATACTAATATGACTGCAAAAGGTTTCAACGTTTCAGTGAAACTTAAAGTCGTCGGCCTCACTTTTGTGAGAAAAGTGTAAGGTTTCCGACAGACATTTTAAAAAAGAACAAACAGAGACTCAGAGAGAAAGATATCAAGTCAGAATTCAATACTGATCAAAAATATGTACAATTAATGTGATCTCTGAAGCTTGCTCTCTTTTTCAAACAAAAAATGGTTACAACTCCATTCCTCGATGGTGATTATAAAAAAAAAATTCGCTTAACGCTTAATATATATTCTTCCACGGCTGCATATCAAAGCAAACATTTTGCATAAGTTGCTTTACTGACAAAACAGTGCCTTACTCGAACATGTGCTATGTTTGCTATGTTTAGCTTCATTGCAGAATGTTTTATAATTAATTTAGCCAGAGAAATAAATTCAAATTTATATAAATTAAATTTAACATTTTATTTAAAAATAATAATTTAGCGGTGGTATCCTTGCCTTATTATTTATACCCATCAATGAAGGATGAGTGTATATTCATTTTTCGTCGACGTATGTCTATCCTTTCGTCTGTCAGTTTCTGTGGATTTGTGCGGCAACATTTACATATCACAAGAATTAAGAGGAAGATTATGGTTTCAAATTTGCAAAAACATTGGCGGTCACTGCGAGTAAGTTGGTTAAGAAAACCGGGGAAATCAAAACTGAATTGGGATTGAAGTACAACGTAAAGCGAGATCGTCTCTTTTTTTAAGTACAGCAAACAAGCACGTGTTTTACTAGTTACTTAAAAACTAATTCCGGTATAACGATAAAAATTTTCACATGCAAATTATAGACGATCCTGTATAAAATGTAAAAAAATCCATATCGCCGACCCAATAGTATAGAGTCTCCAAATTACAATTTTTCTTTCTTTTTCAGAAAACGATGGTACAAAAGTTTTGGCCATAGCTGGATATAATTTCTTTACTCCTTTTTATGTTTTGCATAATAAAATTTTTATTTTTATGTTTTAAGAGATGTGTTTTTCTTGTTCTGTAATACTAAATGACTAAAAGACATTTTTATGACTCTTCTCGATTTGCACAGTATTGCATGCAAAAATTTTCACCTCCGGTTTGCACGATTTTATGTGTTAGATGTTCATAAATCTGTCTACTAAAAACTTTACTAACTAAGGTTCAGAAAATATTTTCATAAATAAAACTCTCCCTTCATTGACGGAACAGTCAAACTCTGCCCAAATTATTAAAATTTATAAGGAAAGTAATTTATGTCCATCTGCTGATACTTTCAAAACAAGATGTAATTTGTAGCCAAACCCAATTAAGCTCGACTTGAACAGGCTTGCTTGCGACATGTTCTACATATGTTTACCTAATATATATTTTCGGTTCCATAGATGTCGTGGAACCACTTAATGTAGATACTGCTTTCATTCAGTCATAAAGATAATGTTAATATATTTATGCAGCGAATTAATTTTAAATCTGAATTGTATATATAGAAATTGATGTTAATATAATTTACCTGATGTAGGATCTGGTAATTCGCCGGTTATCTCGATATGTAATTCGAGAAAACGTTGCAGCGTTACATTGGTGGGAAATGCTTGAACGCCATTGTACGGTATGCGATGCTCGGCACGACATTCTGGACATTTTACCTAAAAAATGTGAAATATATTTTATATTAATAAGAGAAGTCTACGAGTACAGGCACTCAAAAAGTTTGGAAAACTTTGCCCCAAATAGCCATAAAATGTTCTGAACCTAATCAATTTATAGCATATTTGGGGACTTCGACTGATACTTTCATTTTTCCGAGATGGGCAGATAGATAGACAGACGGCCAGACAAACAGACAAACGATCGCACTTCAATCGAAATAGAATTTTATGCTGCTCAAGAATATATACAATATAATCTGCTGCGATTCTGATGCTTTTCCTGGGTATTGCAAACGATTTGAGAAGCTAAGCACACTTCCCATACCGCGGAGGATATAAAAACATCTTTTGTGTTATTAATAGAATATTAATATTAGATTTGATGTAAAAATCACTAGAATATAAAAACACATCTAATGATATCTTAAGTGTACTTATTTTCATCTCTGTCATTCAAATAATGAAAATTAAACGTTATTATTAATCTTTAAAAATTTAACGACAATTGCGTGAACATCGTTCTCGTGCTAAATACCAAATCTGAGAGACTGTCCGCAAGCGGTTTGCGACTTTCATGAAAAATTAATAGTTAAGAAGAAATTTGGTTTCAACCAATAAATAACACACAAATCATACATACGTTGCAATATGCAAACAAAACCAAGAATGTTTGGAAATATATTAAAATTTTTCATGCATTTGAAATGTTGACCGAAATTTATATTATTTATTTATTTTATTTTCACTTTAGTACAAATTTTTATATATTTTTAATTAAGAAGAAAAATTAAATATAATAAATAACCAGAAAATTAAATTCGGTCGAAACCGAATATGTTGTACTCATCGCCGTTTACCGTAAAAAAATACAAAAGGAGTTAAAGAACAAAATTCTCACGTTCTATAATATTGTAGTGGACGCAGTTGATTTCTTGTATTTTCAAAATGAACGTCTTTATCGCAGAGGCATGTGGGCGTTGTAGGCGGTATCTTCATTTCCGCTAACGGGAGAATGTTTACCACAAATACAGAAAAAATTGCGCAAACAGAACGATGGACAGACGAACATTCCAAATTTGAAACTGGCCAAGAATATGCATACTTTATAGGGTTTTTGAAGCTTGTTTCTACGCTTTATAAAGCTTTTGAAAAAACAATTAAATGCGGTACACTATAATATTGGGTAGGTGTGGTCAGTTTTTGTCCATTTATTTGCTATAGTTGATGAGTAATGAGCAAATAAACAATTTTTCATTTCTTTTAAAAACATAGAGGTGCTGTGGACGTGTCCCTCGACCGATTTAACTAATTTCCAAAACTAACCTGCGTACAAGAACTTCCAATGGTTCTGCTAAATTTGGAGGCAATAGCTCCATTTTTGGGACGGCAGACGCCCAGACGGACAGACGGACATGCTGGAATCGATTTAGGATTTCGTGCTTATCAAGAATGGCGTCTCTGATGCTTCCTTCTGGGTGTTGCAAATGTTATGACAAAATGAATAGATACCTCATCCTTCGGTTATGGGTATAAAAATAATAAAACGAGATAATATCTAAAATTGATAGTCTCCATGTGCATGACAAGATTACATTATTTTCTGCTTTTTCACAATATTTCATATACCTAAGCCTATGCTTACAAACTTTTATTATATGGCATAGTAATATAAAAAAGTAGAATTTCACAATTTTCTATATTCGTCAGCACAATAAGAACGACGGTTACGTATAAGTTAATTTTAACATTGAATTTTTGGTAAATATTCAACTCTAATGACAACTACAGCATTTTGTATGAATAAAATAATGATATTCAATGCTCTCTATGCTTACTTACTCCTTTTATACCACAAATTTGATATGAAAGGGTTTTATGATGATTTCAGCTCCGTATTTCCAAATCTGATACAATGCAACAATAATTGTGTTTCAACGTAAGCCATTGCATTGGTTTTGAAATTTGAAGAATATGCTGCCTTTTGCCATCAAGAATATTTTCCCCAACCCGTCTGGTCATCTGTCCGTCTGTGTAATGTCTCTTGTAACCATTCTTCTGACTGCAAAAATCAAGCTATCGACTTTAAGTTTGACAAAAACATTGAAAGTTTCGAGCGCAGATTGCTATCGAAAATGGGTCAAATCGGCCGAAGGCCACGCCTACATCATTGCGTAAAGTGAGGACATCTGTGTTTTCGAAAGGAGTATCAAATTGATTTTTTGCTCGTTTCTTAAAAACTGTAACAGATAAGTCTAGAAAAAATTTGAACGCTCGCTCTATTGGTGATACTCTAGTAAACCTACAAAGATGGAAAAAATTGACCACGTCTACACAACATAACAGTTTATCAAAATTTAATTTTTTTTCAAAGCTTTATAACGCGCAGAAACAAACTTCAAAAACTCCCATAAAGTATGTAAATTCTTGGACACTTTTAAATTTTGAATGCGCCTAAATACGTCCGTCTGTGTGCCTATCCATATGTCCGTCTGCCAAACTGTACAGTATCTGGCGTAAACATTCTTCCGTTAGTGAAAATGAAAGTATCGCCTAGAAAGTTACAAAAAAATTTTAGACTTTTGAAAGAGCACACCTACAACGTCCACAATATATGCAACAACATTTTTCAAAAGACATGCGTACAACGACCACACGACCGAACATAATTTTCTCACTTATTTTGATTGAAACTGATATTATTGATATGGGTGACGTTTATTTTCAGCAGGACGGCGCCGAGTGCAATACAGATGGTTACGTTAACGTATCACTGCTATTTCCAAACTAAATCTAAAATATCTAACAAGAATTATAGGCGACAGAGTTGTCAGTCTCAGTTCTTATTATTTTATTAATAAAAAATTCCTTCGACGGCCACGTAGACGTAAGAAAGAGTGCACGGAAAGGCAATCAAAATTGTAATTATTTTTCCTTTAACACACTCACTTCCAGTGTCTCCTGAGGAAAACATCTATGATAGCCCAAGATTTCTCTTTCGATGTTAAGAAAAATGTACTCTTCATTGACAATTGGAAACTTGCTACTCGACACATCGACTCGATGATCGACTGCGAACCGACTCCAGATTTCATACATTTTACTATTTAAAAAGTTAAAAATTTTGTTTGAATACACAAAACATTCAAACATCCTTAGTAAATTGTCCAAAAAAATTTGTCGCATACGTGTAACGTTAGGCTGTGGTAAGAAGCGGCTGTATCATATATATGCGACATTTAGTAACGAACGAGTTAAGGAAACAAAGAGTTGAGATCGCAAACAGCTCAGGGAAAAGACTTACGTTGTCCTTCATACAATCCTTGTGATAACGACTGGAAGAGTCTACAGTAACTGTGGCAATGAAGTTCAAACTTTTTTCTTTGTCATTTTTCACGCGTACTTCGCGATAAAAACCTCTAGCAAATATCTAGGCTCAATTTTACTTAACCGGATAAATAGTGTAAAATCCACGACCAGTATCCTCCAGTGTAAGGAGTATATAAGATTCGTTTTAAACCAACTACACTTGAATGTTCTCTCATTTTTAAATCTTTTCTTTCATTGTTTTCTTTTCTTTTTTTTTTTGTTAAAATTTTAGAAAAGTTTTATTCAGCACACAACAAAACAACGTAAAAATAATCACTAATGTGTGTGAGTTTTTTCTTTCTGTCTATTATTTGGCTTTATTCCAGTTATTCGGCCTGTATAAACACATAAAAATATATCACTGCGTCATCACAATTCAATCATAAAATTCGAACTAGATGTAAGTAAAAGATTAAAATGAATTTTCTTTGAAAAATTTTAATAAAAATCAATGCAAAGGAACTCTTTGTTTTTTCCTTTTCTAAAAATTTTCAAGAACAAATACTATTAAGACGCGGATTAACGTTAATTTCGTTCCCTTAAAGGCATAACAAAAATTAAATATAGATTATGTACCTGACGACGCACGTAGTCCACTAAACCCTCCATGCAGGGTTCCATGCAAAAAGAATGTTGACATGGTAACAACTTCGGTATACGATAACGGTCCAAGCAAACGCAACATGTTAACAACTGCTCAAATTGTTCCATCTCTCTCTCTTTCACTGCAATGATATTAAATTGCACAAAGAAAATAAAAAACACAAATTAAATAATATTAACAAAAAAGCTACTGAAAGGCAATACTGCTCGTCTGGTTGATATGGTTTGGCGCTCAACGATTTATTAGAATTATTACTAAAAAATCTTATGTAATTTCGCATCAAAAGCCTTAGTTTTATTGACTTACCGTGTCTATCGAAATTTTATAAACGTTATTAAAAATCTGTTAAGAGATCAATGTTTAAAACTTGAAACTGAACTTTCTTTTAACGCATTCACCTTTTCTTCCCCTAGTTAATACTTTCTACTCATTGATTCGCATAAATAAACGTAGCTATATAACAACAACAACACCATCAACATCAAGCATATATATAGAAATTCATAAAAAAAAACAGAAATTAGAAGGATTTTCCGATTATGAGAAATTAATGACGCATGAGTTTGTTAGTTCCTCTTTCCTTTCTTTTCTTTTTTTTTTTTGGTAAATTAAGGAAAATTCATTGTATTTCAAAAAAAAAAACCATCCTTTTCTGAACGTATGGAATACATTAGCACATTTTCATGCCACTTCGTCTCACAAATTTTCACACAAATAAACACTTAATATGAATACTTTACGCACATTGAAAAATATGCTCACGACTCAAATCCTTACTATGGTGATAATATGCTTTGAATATGTATGATGGGTGGTGCAAGCATAAAAGCGTGAAATAGGAAAAAATGGCAAGCAAATCGAAAAATGAATGACAAAGAACCTGAGTTTTGTGCAATGATGCATAAAATTTAATCTTATATACTTATATAACCTTTTGCCCTGTGCATTTTGCTATATTAGATGTTACTAGCCAATGTAAATAAGTAAATTGTCGTGGCGTAAAGCCAAACATCAATCTTTGCCTAGTTTCTGTGCATAAAATCAATATTCAATTTATCTGCAAGACTCTTGTTAAAGTCAATCGCTTCTTCAAATTTATTTATTTTTTTTTAGGTGCATGAGACTTTCACTGTCGGTACTGTCACCGAGTTGATTCTAATTTTGTGTTACTTGGAGCTTTTATTATCCTCGCAAGCAATACGCATATTCCAATTAGTGGCAATTTATCTTGATGTTCACTTTGTAACCATCTCTTATATTACTCGAGTAAGCACCTCCTTTTTGCCTGTGCATTTTCAAAGCTTTTTTGCGTTTTTAGTTTATTCGCTTAACTTGGACGAATATAGTTGGGTAGTTATTTTCTTTCCAAAATAAAAAACTTGCGCATGACAAGTTTTCAAGATTCAATGTCAATGTTAATCTGATGCGTTTATCTTCCTATTTCTTTTTTTTTTTTGATAAATTTTCCAATTTCGCAAAAATCAAATGAAAATTGCCTCCGCTCATCCACAAAAGAAGAAGTTTGGCAGTTGTTCTATCGAAATTTATTATTATTTATAGAGAAGGGATAGTAAGTTAGATTAACTTTAGCGCCAATTAAAGCTGTTAATATATTTGCGGACCAAAGTCGGAACCCCTTTTAGTCCCACAATGCAGGTTAAGATGTGTTTCTAAGTACGGTAAGATTATGTCAAGTACTTTCAAAATAAGACCAATCTATGGCGCCTATGTTTAAACTTATTCGAATATCGAAGAGGTGAGTTCGAATGAGATTAGTGCGTCCGATTACCGTTCTGTAGTTCTTCCCACTTTAGCTTTCAGTCCAGGGAGAGCTGCGGCGTCAACCGTCCAGTTAATTGATGGTCCGATACCATAAACAATATAAGAACAATGAGTTTAGATGAAGTAACGTAATGTATTATTAATCGGATATAATAAAACCGTATATGATTTATATCTTCAGCCCGGTATAATAGATTAAATGAATATTTATTTTCTTATTCAGTATAATATATTAATAACGTGAAAGGAATATGTGGGCGTATTATTGCTATTCCATACAGAAGATGATGTATAACAAAGTGAAGCGACAATCATTGTGATAACAGGGTAACTGGGTAAGTCAAATACATAAAAAACGCCCCTTACGTATCCAAGGAAGATAGAAACCTTGCGTTCTCCAGTACGAACTTTTATTTAGGCATTTAGGCTAGGAAATATAAATATTCTTGCAAAGAGCAAAAGTTATGCATTGCATTGATTTTGATAAAACATTTTGACCATCAACATCGCGAATGTTTTGTCACGAACCTTCGATCATTTTCAAAACGCAATTAGTTTTTATTTCAATTGAGTAAATATCAAAATATTTTTTATTGTAATTATTTATGGAATGTCACGTTATATTGTCAAGTATAGCTTGAAAAGGTTGGTGTTATGAAAGTTAGGAAAAAATGCCGCGCAATTTACATTGGCCTAATTTCTCAGGACGACGCGTTTTCTCGATGCTTGTTTGCACGGGAAATTCAGCTTCTTTTATAGCAACTTTACATCATTTGAAGGTCATGAAGAAAAAGTGTATTCACTAACCAAAAGTATTCCATCAACGTACTTTGTCAAAAACAATTGTCAATAGTCTACTCAATCTACAATCTTATATAATCAAGCTTACATAAATATATTTACATATATCTTAACATGTGAGAGTAACGCCGAGGCCTAGACTACAGCAATGACTTCCTGACCAAAACTTATACGCAGGCTTGGTGATGAAGTTACACTTTGTTCAAAGTAAGCATTAAGCTTTCTTGACGGAATGTTTACATTAACTAATCTGCGAACGAATGCCAAGTTGGTATATCTTCTTTTACACATCCACTGACCAAGGCTCCATATTTTCTTTCTTTTTACTCTATTTTTGCACTATACGATTATAGTTGAAAACAAATAATATTTATCTTTTTAAACTTTTACAATTTATTCATGAATGCACGTCTTTGTTTGTTACCAAGAGTACTCCACCATCCATCGTTTCTAATATGAAAGTGGAAACAACGAAAAAATGCCTCTGCCTATTACATATACGTAGATAAACGGTTTAACATCTCAAAAGCCACAATCTATTTTAATAAAGAACTTTTGGTAAGAGGACAAAAGTAAGAATGACGTCAAATATTTTGAATATTCAAATGAAAATTTTATAAATTCCTTCAACAATACCAACTACAATGAAAAACATTCAACATATCGTCCATTGTGCTCTGACCTGAATAAGGATTTATTCATTTTACTGATACTTACAGAGACTATTGAAAGTAATCTATGCTGCTTCCCTAATTTACAAATATAAAAAAGGGAAAGCAATTATTCAATGACTAAAGGTATTGTATTCACGGATTGAATCAAAAACTCCTCCTCAATCCTCCACGAAGAACATAAAATATGTGAAAGATCGATTTTACATAAATGTTTTTTAACAAACAAGGTCACAAACATTTGCCACTAAAGTATTTATTTTCAATAGATACATATGTATATATTTTTTTTTCATCTTGTGACTACAAGAGGGTTTTTAAACAAGTAAAGGCATTAGATTAGACCATGCTCCACTAATAGACGTCCTACACCGCTTCGCTTAATATAGTTAATCATTTCTTGTCCTTTCAAAATAAGGTGTTCTATAGCAAATAGTTGACTAAGTGGTCCCACCTGAATCATTGTCGTTCACCCTAAGGCCAAAACACGTCGCTGTACGAAATTTCATCAAGATATCTCAAAAATCGGGGTTCGTAAGTTGTATAGAAGAAGACAAGACTAATAGATCCCAAGACGGATAGACAAGTTTCAGAATATAATTCTGAATCGATCAGTCGGCCTCAAGTCCCACTTAATATACGCTTACAACAGAAAATTTGTGGGATATAAAAAGGAAACGAGTAAGAAAATTATATTCGGTCGTGACCGAATCTTTTACAGCCTGCACCGTTATCCTAAAAGAGCCAAAATAAGAAAAGAACTAAATATAAAGCAAAAGAAAAAATATTCATATAATATGGAGTGGGCGCGGCTGATTTTTTCTATCTTGAAAATAACAGTTTATGTCCCACAGGCGTACACTATAATGTTGGGTAGGCGTGGGCAATTCTTTCATTTTAGTACAATCCACCGTCACTCCTAGAACATACGTTCAAATTTTTCTACATTTGTCTTCTATAGTTTGTTTATTCATGAAAAACAAAGGTTTTCACTTTACTTAGTATTGTCTACCAATTTGGCCTGTTTTCAATACCAGCCTGCGTGGAAAAACTTCCAATTTTTCAATTAAGTTTTGTAATCGATAGTTTGGCTTTTACTGTCGGGAGAATGTTGACAACAGACATTACACAGAAGGATATACGGCCAAAAGGACATATTTAAGTTTCCGAAGTTGATACTGATCAAGAATGTATACACTTTGCAGCGTTTCTGCAGCTTCCACTATGGCATTGAAAACGTTTTAACAAAATAAATCTCTATATCATTCTTCGGTGATGGGTACAAAAATTAATAAAAATGTGAAATAAAGGCAGTAAAAGTAAATTCTTTATTTATTTGTTTAGTTTCTCTAGCTGGTTTTATTTAAAAAATCCCTAATATTGTCGATGGCATGTTCTATGTACAATAAAATCAAAACGAACAAATCGATAACAACAATATCAATAACGTCAATTATTTAAGAGGTAGAAGAAAAAATGAAACTCATACATAAAGCCGCAGACAGCTGCTGATAAGAAAGCGAGATATAATAAAAAAAAACCAACTCAATGTTTTCGATGGGCAAGTCAAACCGTTGTATGCCCTGCATTTCTTCGCCTAACCAAATTAAATACTTCGCTTAGTTTCGTCATAAGATACTATTTGCCATGACAAGCATTATATAGCACATAAAGGAATATCAGAGTCAATGTGGTTCAAATTTAGTAAACTTAATTCGATCGCCTAGGAACTTGTTTATTCTTCAGCAATTTTCGTCATAAAATAGCAAAAATTGAACATTGTGACCTTATAAAGGCTTACTTCTCATGAAAGGCTCTTTATAGAAAGGGACTTCAAAAAAGACCTATAAGTAATAGTATAAACTTA